ATGAAGAGCGAGAGGAGGAATTCTGGGAGTTGAAGTCCACAAGTCTTAAAGCTGTCAAATTACAAGACCCTTGCACCCTAACCATTTAGGAAAAAAAACAACCACAAGGGTGTTCAAACTTGACAGCTTTAAGACTTGTGGACTTCAACTCCCAGAATTCCTCCTCTCGCTCTTCATCTTGATAATGTGCAGACGGGCGGGGGGAGGGAGCTGGAACCAGTTCTAAACGGCACTGTAGATTTGTGGGACCTCTTCTATAGAAGAGGTTAGAACTGGCAGGAACCCACCCCTGATAAGGGGAAAGAAAACAGGAAAATATTGTTAAATCTTTTCCTGGAAGCAGGATGAGAAACAAGGAGTGGAAAATCATTAAAAAGGATCCAACCTAGAACTTCCTGACAGCAAGAACAATTGATCAGTGAAACTGCTTGCCTCCAGAAATTGTTAATGCTCTAACACTGGAGGCTTTTGAGAAGAAATTGGGCATCCATTTGTCCGGAATGGTATAGAATAGCACTAGCAATAACACTTGGACTTATATACCACTTTACAGCCTTCTCTGAGTGGTTTACAGTGTTAGCATATTACCTCCAACAAACTGGGTCCCCATTTTACCAACCTTGGAAGGAATGGAAGGTTGAGTCAACCTTGAGCTGGTCAGGATCGAACACCTGACAATGAGCTGAATTAGCCTGTAATACTGCATTCTTACCACTGCGCCACCACGGCTCAGGACCTACTGCAATGGGCAAAAAGTTGGACTAAGAAACTAAAGGTGCCTTCCAGCCGTATTATTCCATGTTACAGGATTAACGGAAATGACATTGGCACCAGAACAAAATTTTCTGGCTGACGAGAATGCTAAGTTAGGAGTCTTTTGTGCTGCAGTTCTCTCTGGTTATTCTAACAGGCTATCAGATACACTAACTTATATATTCTTATTTTCAATTTTTAAAATGATTCTTAGCCTTTGCCCCAGTAAACTACTTCTAGATTTTGTTCATAGTCCATCTGTCTCAGACATCGCTTCATCATATGGATGGCAAGATAAAAAGTTGTTAAATTGCTTTACAGCTAGCAATCTTTGACCATCTCAAAAACAATTACCCACTTTAACATTTACAGTCAATTAATGCCTGGACTTGGAACAGGTTGCTCTTATGATAACATGAACTTGGTTTTCACAATTAGAATGACTTTATAATTATAGAAATGGCTTGCAATGTAAGATGTAAAGCTAAATGTTGTTATATTATTTTTGTAATCTACTGCACCAAAGGAGGCTGGAAATCATTACTTCTTTCATCTGTCTTTGCCCTTTTCTCTTTTCTTTCTTTTCTGACTGTTCTTTTTTGTATATTTTTATTTTATAATGAAACTTAATTTTAAAAATTCTAAAAAAGAAAATATGAACTTGGATTTTTTAAAAATAGACATGCTAGTTAAAATTCAATTCCTAATGATAAGACATATCTATCTAGTAACTAAAGACTGTCCTGAAATATGCAAAAGAATATTTTCTATTAGTGCAAATTCTGTCTATAAAGAAATAGACAAATCTTTGAATCACACAGAATACTTTATCTCCGATAGAGATAAAAACTAACATACCCAGGGTTGTGTCATCTTTTTCATCTCATTTTTACTAACCTAAAGCCGTGAGAAGCTTATAGCTGGCAATTAAGCAAGTAGCTGAAACAATTTAGTTGTTTCTTTTTCCCATAAAGATACACTGAATTTTCAAGAAGATTTGGCATCAGAGCCATCTTCCTAGGCTGGGGAGATAAGTTGTATCTTTTTGTTTCGGATTCCATATGAGTTTTAATAAGGAGAACATTTTTTTTTTAAAAAGCACCTTTGGTTTTATTAACTGTTGTTATTAACACAGAGATTTCTGTACCTGAGAGCTATTAGGTCAGAATACAGGTATAAACTGGTACAGCCAACCTCTAAATATCAGACTGGCAAATGGAGAAATGAAAGCAATCCAGCTGAATCCATGTTTT